GGGGGGGGGGGCACTAGCGTCACGTGTTCATGAGGATTAGGCTAATCATCCCATATAGAAAACATCACAAGTAAAATTAATCATGTTTATAAAGATAAACATGGGTTCATTATAGCCCACGTACAATTTACATTTCAGAGATCATTACAAATAAATTATTAAATGCTAAAACTGAATAAATTTAAATGAACAAACCTGGCGTTGCATTTGCAACCATGTGAAAACAGGGGGTGCTGCAGCCCCCTCAGCACCCCTACTTCCCGCATCCCTGTACTCAACTGTTTAACTCTAGGGGAGTTGGAAAATGAGCCTATTTTCCAAAATAGTGGAGTGTTCCTTTAAGACTGATTTAGCTAGTAGAGCTTTAGTAGCAGCATCAATGAGAATGAGAGTTCAAAAACATCTGATAAAAGCATCATAAGTAGGCTAATCCACACCACTTTTGTCCATCAATTAATCTCTTATGCGTGTTTTAAATAAACAAATCCATCAAGTCGTTTTTTAACTTAAATTTAAGAGGACAACTTGGGCCTTTTTCACTGGATGAACTGTTATTATGGATTATGTACTTGTATTTTTGTGCTGGTTTGACGTTAAAACTCCTGAATGATGGATTTGTTTCTTAAAAACACACACATTTTGACTTCACAAGATGTTAATTGATGGATAGAAGTGGTGTGGATTACTTGTGGATTATTGTGATGTTTTTATCAGCTGTTTTGGACTCTCATTCTGACGGCACCCATTCACTGCAGAGGATCCATTGGTGAGCATGTGATGTAATGCTAAATTTCTCCAAATCTTTTCCGATGAAGAAACAAACTCATCTTAGATGGCCTGATTGTAGGTAATTTTTTTTTTTCATTTTTGTGCAAACTATTCCTTTAATATATGATGTATAACTGTAAATATAAATGGCTTCAAGCTATATTTTAGTTTATCATAAATGCTTGTCAGTACATATGACAGTATACACTTTAACCATATTTCAAAGGCAGTAAAAGTATTTATGAAATTACATTTAAAATGTACTTAAGTCTTACTTACATATGTCAAAAACGTCTTATGTTAAGGTAATTGCATTAAATATACATTTAAACTATAAATCATTTTCATTTAATTTGTGTGCATGTCAAATTGTGTGTGCATTTGTGGTTTTGCTTGTGTGGTTTAGTTTGTTTATTTGTTTAATCCTTTCTTGTCACAGGAGCCCATACTTTATTGCCAACATGCTTCCCAGACCAAGGACAGATATAAAGTGGGCTTGCATGCTCCCATGGTTTTCTGTAAACCGCACGACTGAAACAACTTGATCAGACTTGCTTCCCCTCCAGCAATTTCAGGTAAAGATGGGCTGTTACAGATGGGAAACACTAACTGTCTTGTTTCCACTTTTGCTGTGTTCAGCAAATTCAAAATGTTTCACTAATTTTGCTTAATAGTTTAATCCATGATTATTAGGTAAAATGAATGCTTTACATTTCAAGATAAGTCACTTTAACTTGAATGAGTCATTCAACAGGGCATGAACACATGTAAACACAGGTATACAATTGCAAAGAAAACACCTGTCAAAATATGTTTGAAACATATGATCTAACCTAAATTTCAATAACAATAGCTTTATTTTCACTTCCTTGCAGTAATGACCTGTTTCAGGCAGTTTTGAGCTTGTAACTAGGTCAATTATTGCTCCTAAATCTTGAAGATGAGCCTTAGAGCACCAATGTAGCAAAGTAGGTCAGAGACCTTTTAGCCCCAAATTCAATGAAAGACATTAAATTGTTTTACTGTTCACTGACATCTTAATCACATTTAATAATTTATATTATTTCCAAGAGAAGTCTCTTATTATGGATTGAGCTCAAATGTAATGGTTTATAATCACACTGAAAAGATTTGGTGTAGAAACAGTTTTCAGTCAGAAATTGCTAGTAAAATTCACAAACAAAAACAATAGAAACAGCAGTGTTTTAAAAAGTAGTTGTGTTTTAAGCATTAAACTCCTGCTATAACTTCCTCAAAATGATGTGGTAACAATTATCAGCTTGTAGCTCTCTGGAACACTTGAAAATATTTTAAAACAATAGCAATTGCTTAGAAGAGTAAAGAAAAATTGTATGGAAAAAGAGATTGTATGGCATGGAGGTACAAGTCAAAAATGGATAAATATTTAGCTTTTATTGGTGCATATTTGAACATTTTAACCACAAAACCACTGGTCAGGAAATTAGCAAGAATTGCACAAATACTGTAGATAATGTATTTTAGTACAGGATATCATTTTTCTTTATTTTTAAATGCTTTAAGCCATGTGCAGATTACTTTTTAAGGAAGAAGAGTCAATGTTGTCCCACTCAATGTGTGGATTGGCTTCAAACAGTTAGTAGTTGAAAAATGTCTCCCAGTTAGTTGGAGTTTATTGTGAGACCAAACATTTTTTATAGGGTTCAAATCTGGACTCTGAGCAGGCCAAAACACGAGCCTGATGGACTTGTTTTCAAACCGCTTCTTGGTTATCTTTGCAGTGTGGGCAGGAGCATTTTCTTGTTTAAAATATAACATCTGATCGTTCCTCTTTAGATAATAACTTTTCAGTTACTGGGAAGCAAGCCATTCTGCAATATTCTCTTATACTCAGTTGACTTTTCACAGTGAAGCAGCCCACCAGTATCAGCATCACTGTGGTAGGTGCATTCAGATCTTCAAAAGACACCGCTCTGGTGCGTCACCATACAACGAGTGTTTTATCGTGATTAATCACTCCACATAATTCTGCTGAACCACTCAAACTTTCCATATCCTGCTGAAAGCTTCATTCGGTCTTTTATGTTTTTCTTAAACAGCTATGGTGTGTTTTGCTCATTTCCTTACCAGTAACTGTAAATAGGTTTATCAAAAAATTCTAAAGAGAAATGTAAAATATTATGGTGCAGCCACATCACTGTACTGTGATTTTAACACTGCATTTTTTTTTTTTGGGTTGGTAAGAATAAAAATAACCGTTTACATTTTAATATAGAATAAAGAATAAAAACAACCTTTTACAGTTCTTTTAAACTTCATAGCAATTTTTTTTGTTCATTCTGACATGAATATGATAGGTTATTGGCATGAATAGACTATGTTGTTTTTGGAAAGCTACGGTAAATCAGAGCCGTAAAAGTTTGCGCCAAGTTGTGCTTTTTTAAAAACAAAACTGAGTAGCGCATATGTAGGTGGAGGGCTGTTCTTTTGAAAATTAAGCAAATAAAATACCTTTTCATTTAGCAGTTGAGCTCAGGTCAGTGTTGAATTGTAATTGCACATTTCCCCTTAGTCTATTCACAGTAGTGATGCTCTTGGCGTTGTTGCTTCACGGAATAGCACACACCCTTGGATCTTTTCCAAGCTCTGATATCAAAAGACATTCAGACTATTCATTATTAAGATAATGACATGTTTGGATCACTTTAAACACGCTTTTGTTGAACAGGAACGTTTGGAAAGGTCTAGATATGCAAGTTTTTTCTGTCTCCGCTAAATAAATTTTTCACAAATTTGAGTTTCTAAGTGGGTTTAAACTTAATTTTAAGAAATAGAAATTTTAAGAGTATGCTAAATTGAAATACAGTGGGGCCAATCTGGGATTAAAACATTTAAAATGTAATTTAAAATAAGCAGCTGGGTTAAAAAGGGACAAACCCAGCTATTGGGTTGTTTTGACCCAGCGGTTGGGTTCAAAACAACCCAACCGCTGGGTCAAAACAACCCAATAGCTGGGTTTGTCCCTTTTTAACCCAGCGCTGGGTTATATTTAACCCAGCATTTTTTAGAGTGTATGACTAGATAGATGTGCAGATAATTCAATCTGTAATATTAAGTCATATGCACATGCTAAGAATTTGCACATTATTTCAATTCACTCAAATTGCTAAGCGCATGAATATAAAAATGTGATTGTAAAATAAAAATAAAAACTGTAGTAATCTAGCAGCAGAAATCAGATAAAATCATTTTGAAAACGAAAGTTGTGAGCATCAAACCGTCATGCAACTCTGTTAAGAAAAACCCTAAACATTTCTCTGAGAGTTCAGCTGGATTTGTGTGTGTCCGGTTGTTTATGAGCTGCTAAATCAATTATCAGGTCATGCACCCCTGCAGACAATTCTACGGGAACAGAGGGGAGAAAAACTGTAAAGAATGTGGGAATGATAAATAGAAGTGAAACTGATGCATTTACAAGATAGGGGTGGCGCAAGTACGGTAAGTCTTGGCTTGAAAGTGAAAGTTTGCTCATTTTTTGTGTATAAATACCTGCACCTGATACCTGCATATCACACCTGTGCACAATTGTCTGATGATCTTGCGGCGAAACACAAAGACAAGAATGCAGACCACAACAGTAACTCTCCTGGTCATGGCTGCAGTCCTCTGGAGCAACACTGAAGGTAAGAAACGGTAACGTTTCATGGAACACATCTTGCAGCTTCTCAGAAGCATCCTGCAGAATTTCAAACTGAAACTTCTTATGACTTCTGTCTGAAGGAAAGTGCCATACTTGGCTTTTTCTATGCTGGCTTGCTTTTCTTAGGGAGTTATAGTAACTGTGGGAGCAAGTTCCTGTAAGTCCAGAAGTGCTCAGAAACAGGCCAAGTTTTGTTCTTGCACAGGGTCAAATACATATAGAGTGGAGGGGTTTCCTGTGAAAAGCGTTGCTAATGCCATCCGTTCATTCTCAGCTTTTTCAGATGCAGCTGTGGACTGCTGTCTAACCACCAAGGACACTCGCATTCCAATACAGATTGTTGCATCCTACTTTCACCAAACCACAGAGAGTGGTTGTGCCATTCCAGCTACTGTGTAAGTTCCAGTTCAGGTTCTTTATTGGCATCGATGGTTCCATGAAGATCCTTTAAAATCCATGGAGCTACAAAAGGCTCTTTAGATTAGTAAAATGCTCTACTAATAAAGGGTTCTTTTAAGAACTGTCCACCAAAAGGTTCTACCAAAAATGGTTCTTTCTGGCAACCCCCTTTTGTAACCTTTATTTGTAAGAGTTTTGACTTATATTAATGCATGTTTCCTTCTTTCTGTTCCCGTAGATTTATCACAAAAAAGGACAAGAAACTGTGTGCTCCACCAGAGAAAAATGGCTGGATTACCAAGATCATCACACACTTAGACAAGAAGAAGAAAACATAGGAGCACAGATACAAAAAAAACTACCCCTCTTCAAACTCTTAGTTCTGCTCTCGTTAGTTCTGTGGCATCTCACAGACATCTCCAAAAGCTAAATCAGACATTTAGAAGAAGTTGTGCAGTTCTTCTTCCTTGAAACCGTTTTCTAGCTCCTGATAACACACAAAAAACCTTGACCTTGTAACTGCACTGAGCAGCACTGGACAGACAGGAAGTGACTTATTTACGGTAAAATTCCGGCAACCACAGCTGCCGGTTTTTTACCGTAAATTTTGCGGAATTTTTTTTACAGTAGATGCCTGTAAATTTTCACATGACAAGTAATAATGAAATCACATGTTTATGCACAAGATTGCTTTCACAATCAGATGTTTGTGATGCCAAACGCTTGAGTGATGATGATCCTTGATAAGCGGCGCATATAAAAAGAGCGTGTGTCACCTGAAATTGCTGGGACTTTCCTATCTTATTCAAATGCACAATGGCAGTGCTGCATATAAAGGCATGTTTATACCCACAATACTTTTAGATTTGCTCTACATTTCTAAGTGCTACACATGTAAGCATTTAATCAAATAACTCAGTTTACAACCCTTAATATTCAACCATTAAGTCAATCTATCATTAAAGACATCAAACAGAACTTATACACTTCTGCTTGTACAATAAACCCAACAGAATTCACTGTGTGCTTTCCAATCACACACATGCACAAATAATAATTAACTTTGTGACACTGAGTGAACAATAAAAGTTACGTAATATATATATATTTTTAACCCAGTGGAATCCCCAGCTTTGTGTTGACATCGAGAAGCCGACCAAATGGCTTGTCAGGTTTATCTGAACTGCTTCTTCAGTCATATCGAAACATTTGCCAGTCTGGTGGCCTTTGAGTGAGAAAGTATGTGAGAGTCTGTGAGAGTTTCTATGTGGGTTCAAGCGGAGAAGAGGAAAAGAGAGCGAGGAACAGATACACAGAATGTGATGCATTGTGCCGTAAATTCGGCCCTCCTTCAAAAAAAAATAAATTTTGTCCAGGTCACAACCTCTGCTGCTATGACATTTATTTTTTGCAGTACATGGGAGTGACTATGATAAACGTCTGTGTAATAATGAAACTTATGACCGTCCTATAAAGCAGGGGAGCGATGGAGCAGTGAGAGGAGAGTGTCAGAGAAGAGACAAAGATCCTCCAGCTGCTTCAGCAGGACAGACGAGACACTTGTTCCTCCATCTCATCTCCTGTTGCGGTTACCATGGCTTCAGCCCTCATATCTGCGCTGAGTGTGCTTCTCTGTGCGTTGGCACTCATTCTCTACAGCAGTCCGGCAGGTAAGTCATGTTTTCGACCTTCATCTGTTTTATGTGCTTCATGAGTGCATGGTGCATGTTATCTATTTGTTCATTTATTTCTTCTTATCCTTTATATATGATAGCAGATGTGTAACATCTCAACAATTCTAGTTAGTAATCTTTTAATAATTTTTCAGATTAGCTAAAATCTAATCATCTAAGTAAATTTAAACTGTGAGTCATCCCAACGGTGATCAGTCAGTTTATATATATATATATATATATATATATATATATATATATATATATAATTACTATTAATCTTTTAAGCAAATTAATATAATTTAATATAATAACTAATAATATAACACTTTTTTAATAATCAATTTGAAAAAGTCTTGAGAAATCCTATATAAATATATAATATTCAAAATATGAATTACATTTCGTTCAAATGCCTTAAAAAAAAAAAGAGCAAAAAAATATTATATATAAATAAATAATTAATTAGCATATCTTAAACCACTGTAAATAGTTTGTCTGCTATGACAATGAGCTTTTTATTTGTAGTTAGTTATTACTCCCACTAGTTTCCACCTGTGCATCGCACGTGTTTCGCTTTACTGCAAACTATATATTTGTGCCAAGACACTTTCTTTTTTCTTACAGATGTTTTCAGACTACTCTCGAAGCAGACACCCCTTCTCCTGTATTTCCATCTCTTGTCCCTTATCGTTTTTTTATTTCTCTTTTGTCTCAATCTCTCTCAGCGGCTCAGGCAGACTTAGCATTGGACTGTTGCCTGACAGTTAGCCACAAAGTCATCCCTAAACATGTGCTCCTCACTTACCGGAAGCAGTTCAGAGTTGACGGCTGCCCCCGAGATGCTGTTGTGTAAGTATATTCCTCAAAGGAAACTATTGGACTGGCTCATGTGTGGGAGCCTGGGAGTGAATTAAACGAATTATGATCACATTTTCAAACAAAGCAGATGTGAAAGAGCCTATTTAATGGGGAATTCCATTGCGCTCAACATAACAATGCTTGGATTGTCTACTGTTCTAGTCAATAATGTGCAAAAATCAACTCTCTTTCAGATTCATAACGAGGAAAGAATTGAATCTTTGTGCCCCACCTGCAGCGGAAGAGCACTGGGTTAAAGAGACGATCAAGTTTCTGGACACTAGGCTCAAGATGTGCAAAGCAACCAAATTTCATGTATGTAATTCACCGCAGATTCATCACAGCTTCACAGTTTTGTTTCCTCTGTCATCTTCTGTAGTATCTGATGACATAAAGCTGGTTGCACAACAGCTCGTCATTGTTATTGCACGAGCCCTGCAGCAGGTCACTTTCTCCTTTCTGGTTTTCATCTGACTCATGACATTGTTTATGTGTAGTAGATCACGATTCGGATGTTATAGTCTTACTCATACAAAACCACAAACTATTCAGCTGTGAAACCACAAGCCAAAAAATCCTCCTACAGTAAAGCTTTAAAGGGATAGTTCAACCCAAAAATGAAATTCTGTCATCATTTACTCACCCTCATGTCGTTCCAAACCTGTATGAGTTGCTTTCTTATGTCAAACACAAAAGAAGATATTTTGAAGATTTCTGGTAATCAAACAGTTGGTGGTTGCCATTGACTTCCATAGTATTTTTTTCCTACTATGGAAGTCAATGGCAACCACCAGCAATCTTCAAAATATCTTCTTTTGTGTTCGACATAAGAAAGCAACTCATACAGGTTTGGAACGACATGAGGGTGAGTAAAGGATGACAGAATTTTCATTTTTGGGTGAACTATCCCTTTAAGCCGACCACCATGCATGTTGCATTATACATGTGCAGCAAATCAATATTTCAAATAATTCAAATAAGAACTATTAGAACAATTAAATGCAAGTCGAGTAAAAGTGTAACATCTCTTTATAAGCAGGCTGTAGCTAATGGTTTTCTCTGTGTTCTTTTATTTCAGGAGAAACGCTGTCATGCCCTGAAGAATTTGTCTTTTTGACTGAACATACACATATATACTTTTAATGGCAGCTGATGTAGTCATTGTGACATAGCTCACTTCAGTTTCTGTAACACATTTAGGGTCTTCCTCTTTCAGCATTTTCAACTTTATGCATGTGCAGCAAATCAATATTTCAAATAATTCAAATAAGAACTATTAGAACAATTAAATGCAAGTCGAGTAAAAGTGTAACATCTCTTTATAAGCAGGCTGTAACTAATGGTTTTCTCTGTGTTCTTTTATTTCAGGAGAAACGCTGTCATGCCCTGAAGAATTTGTCTTTTTGACTGAACATACACATATATACTTTTAATGGCAGCTGATGTAGTCATTGTGACATAGCTCACTTCAGTTTCTGTAACACATTTAGGGTCTTCCTCTTTCAGCATTTTCAACCTAAATAATCAAAACAGTCCAAGTGGCCTGATCTTCCCTGTAGTTGCTGTTGTGTGAACATGTTACTCAATTTTTTTTCTATTTTGATAATCATCTTGTTGCGTTTTTAAAGTGAATAAATTGGTTGACAAAAAAATATTGGTGGGATTGTGTTTTTCATATTAAGTCCTGACTTCATAGACATGATAAATGCATAAACACATGGTAAACTGTATATTTTAAAAGTTCTCACACACATACACACGTGCATCTGTCTAAATAGGGAATTGCACTTAACTGCACAGTAACAGGCCTACTAAATAAAATGACCATAAACTCTCCTAAACCCTAAAATGCAACTTTGACAGTTTAAAACTGAATAAAAGTATTATTTACATAGTCTCTTTATGAATCATTTTTCATTTTTATACACTATTTTGTACCCAAGTGAACATCTAGGTGGTCAGAAACACACAAATGTGTGTAAAAGGGAATTTTTAGAGTGAATTCCAATGATTGCAGACTAATCCCAACCCTAAAATACAACTTTTGGCTTTTGGAAGTCCATAAAGATATTATTTAGTGCCTGCATTAAGATTTAAGCTGCTTCTTTAGAGATTCTATCTGATTGTATTTCCTCAAATCCACAGCTGGTAGGTCATTGAAGCACATGTACCAGCGCTAAACGCCACTGAGCGGCGCTAATGAGGCGATCTAGTCTGTGTAGCGCCGTCGCGCCGACACGAAGAAGAGGTTTCACAAAACCAACGCCACATTATGGCACGATTATTATCCTCTCACGTCGTATTTCATTTTCTGTGTATAATTATTATGCTCTTAAATGACGGAACTATCTGTAATGTTGGTAAGTGTGCTTTGAGCGAATTAAATATCAGTTAAGACAGTCAGTGTGAATCCCAAAACAAAGTCAGCTACGTTAGCTGGATAACTGCTAGCAAACATCTTGTTGCCATGGAGAAACACAGCTTGAACGTACACTTAAGACATGTATTCATTGATAATGCTGTATTAATTAATAACTTAATGAGTATTTAAATAAACCATTATATTCCAAATGTACATACACAAATGCGTACCTGTAGTCAATATGGAATATATGAATGTATGATTATTTCAGTGTTTCAGCCTGCGTTTATTCTGGCATCTGGTCCGAGAATATCATCCTTTCTGGTTGGAAACTTGTCTGGCGTTTCCTTCAGCCTCAGTGCTGTTTCATCCTCAAATGCAACAGGTAGACAATTTTCCAAAGCATGTCGATGCTTTAATAATAACTGCATTTTAACTGCCATGAATCTAGTGTTTGGGCATCAAAGTTGTGTTTAGATACCCAGAAATGCTGTTATGATGTTCTGTTCATAAATAATTATTTGTGCATAATTCACATTTTTTTAAGACTCTTTTAGTTTTCCATGTCTTTTTTCCCATGAATCAAAAGTGTTCCAGATTCAGAACATTTGGTCTGGCTTTACTTTAGGTTTCATATACTATGTTTCATTTAGCAGGCACCTTTAGTATCTGTATAAAAATTGCAATGCTTGAACTTTAATGAATGTTTTCATTGTGAACTTCTTCAGGAAGCATCCCGTCATCATCCTGTAGGCCGGTTTCTCAAACACAGTGGAATCTTTCAAATGAATTAATTGGGAAGGTGAGTTGATCCCGCCGCATTAATGGTAGGTTTATGTAGTATTGAGGGGTCTTCATTTTGATTAGGAGTTAAAATCAGCAACATGGACAATGTGGGGCAACATGGAAAGAATTTACAGCAGTAAACAAGCATCAACACAACATGCAATTAACTTGTAAAATCCCCGTTGAAATATCAGGAAATTGAAATCTGTGTTATTAACCTTTAGTCCAGACAACCTGTCATTAAGCAGGGTGTGATGATCACCTACGCATCACGTTTTTGTGCATGACTGAAAGTTCCCCACTGTTTTTTTGCAGACATTAAGCAGGGTGTACAAAAAATAGTTTGTACAGAGATTTATATGAGCTGCAGAACTTGCCCAGGGCAAGTTTAGTGGTCTTTTAGGGGATTACTTAGTAAAATGAGAAATTAGTTTCCTTTCTGTTTGCAATATTTCTACACAAGTTTGAATAGCAGTAGCTTTAGAGTTTAATAGAGCATTCAGACAGTCAGTAATCAGTACCGTAGGTCCTTTTTCTGGTGCTTTCCACTGACGTGATAGGCCACTTTCTTGTAAGTTGCTGCAGTAAGAAAGTGTCTTCCAAGAATAAATGTGACCGTTCCAACATTTGAAGTCAGTA